GGATGAAGAACATTGTGGTATTATGGGTGCTTATTTTTCATGTGTGCTAAATAATTTATTAAGTTTTATTATTTTTAGGCATTATTCTTCAGAACAAATATTTCCTGTTTCAGATTTTCTACCCTAAGAAGAAATATATGTTTGGCTTGTGTTAATAACCTGTATATTCTTGGCTTTGAGGAATGGATTAATTAAATTATAATCTAGAAATAACTGAACACTCCTAATTGATTTTCCAACATTACAGGAAAAGACAGACTAGTAGAGCTTAGATAAGTAGGTAAAATGAGATGCCAGAGATAAATATTTTTAACGATCTCATGATTACCAGATCCTTTCTACTTTACACCCTCTAAAGCAACTTAAAGTATCTGAATTTTATTTTGAGTGCCAAGAGTGAAAATATTCACATACTGAAATTAATATTGCATAAAATTCTAATTGAGATGTAAATATTTTACACATTTATATAATCCCCCACAATTGCATATAGCACATATTTGTGAGTTTAATCTGTTGATACCTCATTATACCATCAAAAGAAAAATGTTCCCATAGAAAGATTAATATATAATAAAAATCACACTTAGAACTGTCAATTATACTTCTAGAAGCATCCTATCTTTTTCATCACCCAGTCTCTGTGCACTTAGTTCTTTGAAATAACCACTGCAAAAGGTAGTCCTATAAAATTGCATTATAATTACAAAAGATATGTTTGTCTGGGAACATAGCATCCCTTCTGCTGGTAAATGTTTGACCTAATTACAAGTTTATAACAAAGAATTCTGTCATCTCATGTGAACACTATTTATAGTCTTAAGTGGACCAATGGGGATCTCTTAGGTTTTGGGTTTTTTTTTTCTTTTTCTTTTTTTCCTTTGTTTTTATTAATTGGAGATGTGTAGAATAAGACATACCAGTAAACTATTATTATTTTTAAGTGTGAAAATGTGCCAAACACATTATTTATGTTTTATTCGTAACTGAGATTATAGACCCACAGATTATATTTTAGAGGTGGTAGGGGCTTCATAGATCATCTCCTAACTCTTTGTTTAATACGGTGAGGAAGCTGAGATCCAGCAAGGTTAAGTGGCTTGTTTGAGGTCACATAATCAGTTACTGTCAAACCTTATAATCAGTTCTAATATTAAAAGGTGGATATGGACTGTGTTAGTGACACATTTAAACATTTAACAACACTCTAAAGCAGGAAATGTTTCCTTATATTTAACATAAATCACTTACTTCCTCTTATTAGATACTTGGAGGAGATGGATAACAGCTGGTGCCTGTAATTCTTGTTCTCTTATAGCTTCATTATTTCACATCATTTAGTTATCGTTTCTCCTAATCCTCTTCAAAATGCCTTGCACAGCAGGACTGCATTTGTTGTTTTTGTTTTTCATTTTTAATGTCTTTAACCTCAACAGTATATTTGTAAGGGATACTTAGCGTATGATTCCCAGAACTGACTACACAATTGCTAGTCTCTGTTAAAAAAAAATTTCTAAGATGGCAGTAACAGACCATTAAATCAAGTACAGGACCTATATTACACGAGTTTGTATCCCCATGAAAGTGACCCTGATGGTTCCAGATGTTTTGCCTGAAATTTACTTCTTTCAAGATTAACATGCCAAACTATATGCTTAAATGTTTTGATATACCAGAGTTGTTACTTTTTTTAAAAAAAATAAAACAAGATCACTTTTTGTTTTTGCGCTGTTAATGAGTTTATGCTGGATGTTATCACTGAAGCTCTTCCTGTGATTCCTTGAGAAAGAATGCTAGAATTGCAAAACTTAGAAATATATTCCACTTGGAGAATGCAGGATGCAAGTTACTCAGTTTAGTCCAAAAAATGGCACTTAGGTAGTCAATGTCCATTATATAATTTGATTTGGTCTTAGGCATTTAATTTGCAGGAAAAAGTTTGTATATTAATTTTCTTTTTAAAAAAAGTTGTGTCTGTTATACTCTGTTTCCCCAAAATCTTTGAATAGGAAAAGCTTGCATCAGCTAGCCTTTTTAATATTAGTACAGATTACCTAGGTGGTGATACAAGTGAGCATTACTGGTTGTGTTGAATTTTCCTCGGACAAGAGGTAAAGAATTTTACCTAAGTGAAATGCTGGTAACCTTTTTACATTTAAGTGATGCTGGTAACTTTTTTACGTTAATATTTGTGTATATGCTTTTTATGTAAATTGATTAGCTTTTTTGTAACATCTGTTTTTTTCTATTTGATTAATGTTCAGTGTTGGAGTAATCCTGATAAAAGTAGAAAATATGCTTTTAAAATAAATAGACTAAACAAAATTATGTCCAAGTATACCAAGTGTTAATTTTAGCCTGCTCATGATTTTTTTTTAGATACTTTACTTTCAACTATAAAAAAAAGCTGCAGTTCTATTTCATGACGTAAAGGCGGTAAAAGTGCCATATCATATAATCTTTCATTTTCATGTAAATATTTATCTTGACACTGACCATTAGAAAGTTTGGTTACATGATTTATTACTTTATTACAAACTTCCTACTTGACAATTGTATGTCTATTTTTTATTTTTATATGCTGGCATTTTTTTTCTAATCTAGAACTAAGTATATAGGGCTGTCTTTGTTCAGGGAAAAATAGGATCTTCAAACACGAATGCCAGTTGGCTAGAGAATTAACTTTAAAAGGTATTTATTGAAATGAGTTTTAAGAGAAGGTTTCTCTTTAATAAAAAAATGCTTTGACATTATGGAAGTTGCTGCTTTGTAGTGCTCATATAAATTTTATCCATACTAAAGAAGAATTCCGGTTTTCACTACCTTTTTGCTCTTCATCCTCTTTTAAGAGTTCAGCCAACAGTGCCACCGTCAGAACAGACAGGCTTCGTTCACTGTGAGTGTTGGTTTGCTCAACAAAACAAAACAAAACAAAACAAAGACTATGGCTGAAAGCCACGTGTTTAAACAGACACTGATAACAAGTAATGAGAGACACTAATGACATGATGAAACTGTCTTTAATTTATTTTATGCCCAGATCAAATTCATCATATTATTCTTCAAAGGCCTGTTACGATTTGGATACTTAACTCTTGCCAGGTCATTCTGTATATTATTATATTGATGTCGGTTTATTGTCGTCATCCTTAATTTGTTGTTAGTGACAGTCTTCAAGAATACAAAGACATGAACATAATCAGATCGTTTGGGTCTGATAACATCTTCCCCAGTATGCACTTTGAGGGCAATTTTGAAATTATACCTTTCCCTTATATTTGTTTTTTATACTGGGATTGTAAAAGTAAACTGCCAAGCAAATTATGATTATGATGATTTTAGAATCTATATTAAAGCGTACTTTTTTTCATGGTCTGATACTTACATGGTAAGGTATATTTATTTTTGAATGGAAAGAAACCTGGTCCCCATCTTCCTGTTGACATCAAACAGTCCTCTGATATGCTAATCTAGCTTCGAAGAGAGCACATATACAGGCTTTATTTGGACTCATTCCAAGTCTGAAAGAAAATTATGTGTAAAGAACTGATTTTTGTGGCATTGCCCTCTTCGAATGGAAACTGATGTTCATACAGTCTGCAATTAAAAAGGCTTAATATTGAAACATGATATAGGAGATTTTCAATATTTTAGTAAGACCCTGATTTGCTTTCTTATTACCTGGTCATCTAATTGTTATTTGTGTTTTGGGGTGTAATGTCACTGATGTCATAACTATTGAAAGTACTAATAAGTTTGTTTCCATAGTGTGTGTTAATGCAGATTAACCTGAGGTTATTAGCTTTTCCTTAAGGATTTATCCTTTGGAACATATAGTGAATGCATATGAGGCAGAGGTAATAGTTTGCTAAGTATGAAGTAGGGATGTTAGCAGATTTCCTTGTCCTATTTTTCCTTTGGTCACAGGTGTAAAGATTGAGAGTTGTTCTTTTGGAATTTTCTAAGTATAGTTTCTTCAGATTCAATAACAATAAATCAAGTTAGTTGAACTTCTCAAAATGTCTCCAGATAAATTGCATTCAGTGTTGATATCTATCTATATAATCTGTCTACTTTTAAACAGCTAAAATTATCAGAAATGTTTATGAAAACCTGTTTAAATGCTGTATTTCTTTATGCTGATCATTTATAAATATTGTTAAATAGGAAACCAGTTGCTTTGGTTTTGTTTTTGAAAAAAAAATTTTTCTGTAATGAATCTTTGTAAGTCTTATGATGCTTAGAGATTTGTTCTTGATGAATATACTATTAGTATATTTGTCTAGCAAATTAATGTAGAAAAATGAGCATAAGTATATACCACTGCTTTCCAGTTATTTTAGTAATTGTCATCTTATGTGCAATGTTCCACATTCTCCTAAGTTGCCTATTGGTGCTCTCAGCTTTTTGCCCTGGCCTTCTTGTAAGATTTTTCTTCCATGGAGTTTAGTTTCATTCATTCAGAGCAAAGTGCAATTTTGACTTGCAGTGGGCAATAGAAATATTCATGAAAAGTTTTTGCATAAATCCCTTTTGTTTATTTAATTTTTAATAAATTGTGATATTTCAAATCACCGGGTGGTTCAATATTTAAAAGGAATTCTATAGTGAAGCCTTCTTCCAGGAAAAGAATTGTCTTTTAATGAACATAATTACCTACAGGTTTCTAGGCTTTTTTATTCTGACTTTTCTTAAAATGAAATTTGACACCTTACTTTTAAGACAAGAAATTATTTTATATAGATGCTGATTTTTTTGAAATAGTTGGACGTCATAAAGATGTAGCGTTATATGACTTGCCATAATTTTAGGTATCATAGGAAGAAACTTAAACTATTATGTCAGATAAAATTCTTGGAATTACTTCAGAGTAAATAATCATATGTTTTCTAGTTGATAATCGTAGGTAAAATTGGGTGTTTTTTTCACTTACAGATTTTTGCATATTGATCTTAAGAAATCTTAGTTTTCATAATTCTTATTTTCAATTTTTTTAAAAGCATTTTAAGAAACAAAAGAGGCTAATTCCTGAAAGAACTGTTTGGAAGTACTTTGTTCAACTCTGCAGTGCATTAGAACACATGCATTCTCGAAGAGTCATGCATAGAGGTAAGATAAAATCATTAAGAACTTTTAATATTGTTTTAAATGATACAAGCTATTAAGCAATTCAAAGTAAATGTCTTTGTTTAGTATCTTGCTTTCTCCAGTAATTTATTTCTAAATTATAATTTTGCTAGAATGTTAAACCTTTAAGTAAAGCCCTAGTCGATTTTAAATAAGAATGAAAATTAGTTATTTTTCTGCTTCACTCCTCTGAGCATTTTACTATCTATGTTGGTAAAGAAAAAAAAAAAAGGAAAGCAGTAGAATATACATAAGGAATCGGAATAGTTGCTTGCTTGTTTGTTTTCAAATGAATAGTGTATATTATGGCCACTTATATTTTTAAGTCTTCAGTATTAGCTCTTAATATATTATTGATTATCAATCAAATAGTTGGGCAGGGTGTATTAAGGTTATGTCACTAAATAATTGATCCACTGATTTTGAGGTGTGAAAAATTTTAATACAATTTATTTAAGCAGTTAAGATTTTTAAAGCTATCTAAGTAAATAATTATGTGCCTAATAGTGTTAAGTCATGATTTTATATTTTATGTAAATACACTAATATTCATCTTTACTAAGATTTTATTGAAAATTGATCTAAAAAGGACACATTTATTTTGTGCTTTGACTTTCACAGAAGGTTTTTTGAAATGGAAAGTAATGAATCTTAAATGGAGATTAATAATGATCTTCATCATGCTACATGAGTAATTATCAGAATTGAGAACTTCAAAATTTTAGAATATATCAAAATTATTAAAAATTAAGTGGTTCATACTCCAAACTTTGATGTTTAAGATACATTTTATGTTCTCTCATGAAAAATGGTTCTTAATCCCTTTAAAATTCCTAAAGTTGCATCATCTTTCACCTGATTCCTTCATTTATTCACAGATATAAAACCAGCTAATGTGTTCATTACAGCCACTGGGGTGGTAAAACTTGGAGATCTTGGGCTTGGCCGGTTTTTCAGCTCCAAAACCACAGCTGCACATTCTTTAGGTAAGAGACACAATATAATTTCATTCAGCTACTTTTTTGTGTGTTTGCTTTAAAAGATAAGGGGTGTAACAATTATATGCCATCTCTTATATTCTTAATAAAACTATTTTAAAAATCATCAGGTCCTGAAAAGATGTGAGTACCTACAATTCTGTTAGGTGTAATGTGACCTCTCACTTGACTGTCAGATACTTCTGTTAACCTGACCCAGACAGGCACTGGGTTAAAAATGCTGATAAACTTGATTTAGTTACTGCTGTGGAGCATTCCTTTTATTCAGCATTTAATAGTATATGATATGGTGACTAAACTGTCTCTTGAAAGAGGACTTCACTTGACCATTTGAACATTAGAGAGTAGTTTATAAATATTTATTTATTAAAACAACATATATGGTTGAGAGTATTGTAGAGGGAAAAATCTACAGATAATCTATAGCTAATAAGGAAAATACTTCATTAAGTTATAAATTGGAAGACGTATCTGTTGTTTATTCATTCTAGAGTTAATAATATAGCAGTTTCCTTTGTCCCTAAATAGAGTTAATATATCTATAACATTACACTAACAATGGAATTAAAGTTGTCCAGTTTAGAAACAATATAAATTACTAGGTAGAATTAATTTTCAAATTGAGTAACTTAAACGGAGGGATAGAGTGTCCCCTAAAACTCTTCAGATCATATTTTCTCCTTGTAAATACGGGACAGATAAAATGATGACAACCAGAATGAAGTAAAAATTAAGGTAAAAATAAGTTGATTTTAATTTAACGGTACTTATCTTTGGTGTCACAATTTCATTGAAAGCCACTAATTTTTTTTATAAAATTGCTTTTAAATGTGAAATTAAAAAGAAAATTTTTCAGATGGCCTGATGAGGACTAAATGAGTTACACTAAAGAGCAAGGTGGTGAAATGAGCATCTTAATTAGTTGACTAGAGATTTTTAAAGTTTCTCTGACTTTATTACTAGGATTCCGTGTGGTCTTGAACCTGTCATATAATTTTTCTATGTCAAGAATATTACCTGGTGCATATAAGTAGGCACCCAATCAATATTCATGAATTAATAAATATCCTAGTTGATAGAGTAATGGAAAGATAATGCTTTTCACAGGATTTCAATTTTGTCAAATACTTTGAGTATGTTGAATAATGTTGTTTTTTCCTCTTTCACTTCACATGTATTTTTACAGAGCATTTTAATTTTTTCTGAATAAGAAAAATTAATATGAAATTCCATAAGAAATTCATAAATTTGTCCAGCACTTGAATAAAGTTTTATTTTGGGAAGTTACACTTCTTGCAATACAAATAATGGAGGATTTCTGTGAAGAAAACCTTAGACTGTTCCAAGCCAGTGCTATCATCTGTAATGAAGATGTGTAACATGTTTCCCTTTATTTTACTCATCTGAATGGAATGTGTTAGCATTCTGTTATTGATTTACTTAGCAATACTGGGTTATGATTACACATACACATATACCCTTGCCTGTGTCTATACCCATGCACACACACATGTGTGGTTTACGTGGTGCTTTGCAGACTGTCACTCTGAGAATGTTGTAGTCATCCAACCTGAAGGATCCAGCATTGTATATGAAACCCAGACCTTAACCGTTTTAGAAATAGACACCCTTAGCTTGCCTGATAATGCCTCTTGTGGAAGTTCTGAATAGAGTTTACAAGCATGTGTCTCCACATTTAGGTGATGTGCTAGTTCAAATTGTGTGATGAAGAGAGCAAAATTAACTTTGGTAGATTTAATAATTCTCTAAGAATTTTTAATACCAAGTTTTATGAAAATCAACTCGGTGTCACAGAGTTATTAATATCAAATACCTGGTGGTGTCCATAGTTACTAGGCATTCTAAGACACCTGAAGTATAGCCAAGGAAAAAGTAGAAGTGAGACTGTTTCCTTGATAGATGAATCAATAGAAAAATAATTTCTTTTATAAGTGTTTTTGTTTCACATATTATTTTGGAGACAAAAAATCCTTAAAATAAGAAAATTAATTTTATCCCATTGGTCTCCTCTACAAAGTGAAGATTTTGGTTGTAAACTGCAGTTGGAAATTGTGAAACAGACTTATTTTTGTTGACAAGCTGGCCCTAAGTTTTTACTTTTAGAGAATGATTACTCTCTTATGTTAATGATCATGGATTTCTTTTAATTTTTTTAATTTTTATTTTTTGAGTTGGAGTCTCACTCTGTATCCCAGGCTGGTATGAAGTGGCACGCTCACAGCAACTGCAGCCTCCACCTGCTGGGCTCAAACTATCCTTCCGCCTCAGCCTTCCAAGTAGCTGGAACTACAGGTGCATGCCACCACACCTAGCTAATTTTTGTATTTATTGTAGAGACTAGGTCTTGCCAAATTGGCTAGGCTGGTCTGAAACCCCTATGCTCAGACAAACCTCTTGCCTCTGCCTCCCAAAGTGCTGGGATTACAGATGTGAGCCACCGTGCCTGGCAAATTTCTATTTTTAAAAGCAGATTTCAAAGTTTTTTTGTAAGAGTTAGTACTGAAAAGTAATTGCAAATGTGTGCAAATTTATTTTGCTTACAGAAAATATGATAGAACTATAGGTTTATTTTATGTTGATTTTTTTTTATTTTTTATTTTACTGAGGGTAAAATCTCTAGGGCATGATTTATCCATAAAGTAGGTCTACATTTTAAAGAAACTACAAATAAATGAGATTCGTATGTAGTTCATAAAAAAAAATCTGAATAAGTTTACTTTAAATGAAGTTTGTCCTGGAGCCATATTTCTTTTAACTTTGGAGAGGAGATGTTTTTGCAGATGTAATTTAAAATGTAAGGACATAGAATTTTAGAAACATCTTCTTTCAGTTATGCATTTATACTTTAGTTGTTTTTTTCCAAAATACATTTTTGTTGAGAAATTAAATAAATATGCTATTTTAACTTATTTTGATGAATTAAAAGGAATATGCATTGCCAAAAATATGTTGTATTGAGTAGTCCTTAATAGATTGGCAAGTCTTTGCACTTTTCAATATTCTGTTCATTTTGTATCTCATGTGTATCATTTGATTCCATGATAAAAAATAATCATGCAATAAAACCTGTAGTTTTGTCATATCTTCTGTAGCAACTAAAGTTGTATAAGCCAGGCATGGTGGCTCACACCTGTAATTCTAGCACTTTGGGAAGCACAGGCAAGAGGATTGAGACCAACTTTGACAATCAAAAAAATTAGCCAGATGTGGTGGCACGTGCCTGTAGTTCCAGCTACTTGGAAGGCTAGGATAGAAGGATCACCTGAGCCCAGCAGGTCGAGGCTGTGGTGGTTGTGAGCATGCTACTGCACTCCAGCCTGGGCTACAGTGAGACTCTGACTCAAAAAAAAAAAAAATTGTATAGATGGCCACCTTTGTTAACCATTTTCAGAAATAGTCCTTCAAAATGTGACAATATAACATAGTAAAAATTACTTGACTGCAAGAGTGAAAAATTACAAATACTGTACTAAATCTGATGTTGCTAGACGTTCCAGCCATGTTCAGATCTTCAAAACTGGGAAAACCTTAGAAGTCTTCACTTGTTTTTCTCTCCCCTCCCTGCTACCTCCACACACATTGTCTCACAGCATCTGTATTCTCCATTTCCTCATCCATTCTGCAGACTCACTTCATGTTTAGAGCAGGAAAATGCCCTTTTTTGTTTCTTATATTATTATTCTTTAATTCAGTCTGTGTATCCCTGCTAGTTATTTTTCTCAAAGACATCCTCTGATTATGTTACTTTCTACAAAATCTTTGATGGTTCCCTGTTGCCTGAAGAATAGCTTGCAAAATATTTGGCACAACTAAAGTATAGTGTTTAGGGCCCTTTAAAGTCTGATGTCCTCTGACTTTTCACACTGACTCTTGACTCTACTTCTCCACCGAGTTATGCCTACCATGGTTTTCCTCTTGCTTTGTCCCAGACAAGAGAAATAGCTTGATAGCCAGATTTATAAAAATCTGGAAATAGCCATCTATGTTGTCCCTTAACCCCAGTCAATCCCTGACTAAATAATACAAATAATGTAAAATTGTTTTCTTAATACTGTAAAACCTTGTATAAATGTTAAATTGTTTATGTTAAAATGACAGTGATAGTGATGGTGGAGATGCAGAAAAATAAGAGGGGAGGTGGATAAGGTGTTCTCCATGTGCAGTTTAATCTGAATTGATCTATCCAAACAATGATTTTAGTACCTATTTATGCAGGTTCCATTCTAGGAACAAGAATTGTAGCCTGAACAAGGTAAGTTCTTGTCTTCAGGGAGCTTACCATGTGAAGGGAGGACATATATAATAATAAAGCTAACAGAAACAATGTGAATTGTTAGTGATGTGGCAGAGAATGGCTAGTTGGGGAACTGACTTAGAAAGGGTGAAGCGGGGCACTGACTCTCTGAGGAGGTAATTTTTGAACTGAGATTCAATGGGTGCAAAAGAGGCAGCTATGGAATAATGTCTCAGGCTGACTAAAGAGCATTTCATACAAAAAGATGGATTTAGGAGAAGCTCTGCCTGCAGAAGTTTTGCTGGTGCTGAAGGAAGGGGCAGAGCTAGATGTAGATGGAATTCCCATTGTATTTGACGTGCAGTGGCAAGTTTTCACAAGGTTGAAATGAGGAGCCTGACTTAATCTGAATTGAAGGCAACAGCCACGAACCTCCTTCATCTTCTTCGGGCTAACGATGGCCAGGATTGTCTGCTATTTTCAGGGTCTTCTGTGTCTTGGGAAATTCTCATCTTTTCTCTCAGAGTGGAGGAACTGAGAAGAGTGTACCACATTGGGGCTCATTTAGCCCGTAGCACAGGAACTTTACCACAGCCTGTGATCTATGATCAAGACAGTTTTTTGTTATTGTTTTTTTTCCTCCTCCCTCCTCCTTTTGTTTTGTACACAGACTTATGTTAAGTAAATTTTCATTTGGTGTTTTTGTATTGATTTGGATAGGAGTATGGCTAGG